GCTGTGTTTAAGCTTCCTAAGTTCATCTTGACTCCATGGTTTTGGAAGTGCCTGCTTTAGCAACTCAGCTGTCAAAGAGGGAATGACAAGCCACTGGAAGTAGTCACCTTTCCAGCTGGCATAGTGCTCCCAGAAGGGACTATGCATCTGTCCCATGAGAGACAGACTTAGAAAATGTTTGAAGCTTTGGCAAACTCAAATGCAAAGAATGTAGCCTTAAACGTAGTGCAAGATTACTGATCCAAATAAATAACTGGAAAGGTGGTTCTGCATGTACCATTCTGGGTGGATTTTCATTAATGGGTCTTGCAGGATCAATACATACTCAGTACATTACTTGTAGGTAATACATACTCTTAGGTAAAGATGAGTGAATAGGATTTCAGTCCCAAGTATAGAAAGTGCTGTCCAAAATTGTGAAGTATGACAGAACATGTCTCTGCTACTCTTCCAATAACAGCAGAAATAGCAACAAAGCATTCACCTTATATAAAATGTAGAATTTTCATGTCTGATATGAAAATTTTTCCTCCTCTCATGTGTGTCTGAAGGTCTTCAGCCTCTTGGCTACTTTTGGAAAAAGAGTAATAGTGATGTCTCTACTGCTGGGATGGTATACATTTCTCACAAAGGCTTTATTTGCTTATGGGAGCTAAATGCTGATTTCCATAGAGTTCAAGGGCTTTCATCTTGACAAAACACATATTTCGCAGAACAGTATTATCTTGGGAGTGATTAAAACTTGCATAAACAAAGGTGGTGTTTGTGCTGGCAAACTTTCCTTGCTACTTCCCCCTCCTTCATCCACTGCTTATGTCATCGCTACAGCTAGGAAGAGCTTTGTTGCTTTCAGATGCTGTCACCTGCATAACAAAGCAGCGATTGAGTTGTATCATTTCTGAGCTTTCAGAAGTGTTAACAGATGTGCCTGTTCTTGAAAGCCAAAGAAGGTGCTGTATGAGAAAGCTAAACTAGCTGTAGAAGCTGCAGAAGCTAAAGAGAGATTATAAAGAGAGATTAAACGTAGATGGTAGAATAAAAGCCTCAATTTCTTTTTATCTTAAAGCTTCTTAAAGTTGAGAACTGTTTTTTCTATTCCAAAGCTATTTGAACTACACGGGTAGATTTGGAACGAGGCTTGGTCTGCGTGATATGTGCTGATAGAGCTGTGGTATTGGAAATTGGTGGTTGGAGTGTGTGTCACGCTTGTACTAACTTCCACTGATGCATTCATGCTTAGCATTTGCTCAAGGGCAGAGTTGTGCTGAAAATCTCACACAGGAAAGGTGTGATTTCAGAAGTCATTTCCAATTATATCAAGATATTTGTGAACTTTAGATTGCACATTAAGAAAAACTTGATCTCCAGGAGGGTGGTGCAGCAGTGGAGCAGGTTAGTCAGAGATGTGCAGTCTTTGCCCAGGGGAGGTTTCCAGGTGAGCCCCAATCTCACATTGCAAATAACTCCACTTCAAGGGGTAGGTTGGACTGGATGATCTTCAGAGCAGTCTCTTCCAACTGCTGTTTCAATGAGTCTGAAAAGATGCTGCCATCACGTTTCTCCAGGATAATCTTGTGGGAATAAGCTTGCCTCGGAGTACTTGTTTTATTGGGACACTGAAATATTTAAAATACGGATTCAGTCACGTATAAAATTGTGGGGCAAGCATGTTTTCACTCCATCAGGATGAAGGATCAAATGGTTTTTCATTGGGACTGACTGTGCTGTAACCTGCAAATGACAAACTTTCAGGAGTCCTGAAATTAACTTCCATAAATTGCTGACGGCAGTTTGCAGAGTTAAACTTACTGAAGGTTAAGACTGACACACAGATGTTGACAGGTAATATGTTCACTGGTACAGACTTCCACAAGTAATTTACCAATTAAAAATAGTGGAAAGAAAAATTTGGCATGTTGTGACATAAACTACGGGGTGGTGTTGACGTAAAGTTCACCTTTTCTTTGCATTAGTTATGTTTTAAAATATTTGGAAAATGCTGTTGGTTGTTATAATACGAGTAGGCTGAAGAGGTTTCTGTGGGCTTTCCAGCATATCACAATAATAATTTAAGCTTGAGGTCAGAATTAATCATTTTTGTCTCTTTCCCATCCCACAACAGATATATTACATTAAATGTTACAGCTCTGCCTGCAAGTAAATAAAGTCCTGTCAATCAGAGCTATCAGTTGAAGTCCAAAATGTGTGCCCTGCCACTTCTACATGAAAAAAGAAATCCCAGCAGGAGGTTGAAGAACAAAAACTATAATGGGAAGGCTTTCTACATGACAGCATGGGAAGAAGTAGTAATTTTGCCACATTTTTGTTTTATTTCTGTGGTGCCCATTCATGGGCTCTGCAGAAGTGATTTCCATGTGTAAGGGAAGGGCCCTAAGTCCTGTTCTGTATCATTAACAGTCTTTATGAAGCTGGTTTTGCCCTTACTGGGTAAGATGAAATAGAGGAGACTTACATGTACAAATCCCAGCCAAAGCTGTTTGAGATAACTGTGTTGTTTAGATTGCTTTGTGTTTTAAGATAAGGTTTTGTTCTAATACTTTCATCTTAGCTGTAGTAATTAAACTTATTTTCCCAAGGAAATCTTGAAGATAATTTCCCCAATTCCAAAGCATATTTTTAGCAATAGCTTCCCTGCCGTTGAGGTGGGAACAAAAACTAATTTGCAGCTTAATATTGAGAATTTAAATGATAGAATGATATAATGAAGTACAGTGATCTCTGAATTCATACATACACAGCTTGATAGTGCTTGTGTGCCAGGAATTGTCAGAAACGTATGTAAGTGCATTTATAATATGTACTATAGTGCATAATAAAGAATTGAACTCTAGTTACTGGTAAAATATGCTGGTTGTAAACATAAAGATACTTTAAGTCTCCAGTTTCACCACACTGTTTAAACCAAGGAGCCTTTCTTCTAAGAAAATGTCCCTTATAAGAAAATCCAAAGCTTTCACAATAGACTTTGATCCTTACTGTAAATGAAAGGAGGGGGAAAGCCTTCACGCCAAAATGCTAATAACATTCTCTTTGTCAGTGCCTTTGTATGGCATATTAAGTGGATCTTTGCCTGTGAGTCCAAGTTCTGCAGTTTTGTAGGCATCTCCCTTCCCATAAATACAATCGTCTTTGGGCTGTGTGGTTTTTTTCAGCCAGGGAAGAATGCTGTTTGTCCTTTGTAAAGTACCTGCCCTAATGTGGGCAGCCCACTGTTACCCCAAAAGCATGTGTTTGTTGTAGGTGCGCTGTTAATTTACTGTTTTTATATTGTTAAGTGGCACAAACCAGAAGAGGCAGTGCAAACACTGGGTTTATTGTATGACCAATAACTGCTCTTTAAATGCCTAAAGATTACATGATTGGGTTTTTACATTGTGGTTTGATAAATGGAAGGCTTGTGTTGTATTCCAGTCTCTTCAATCTCTCCAGGAAAAAAAAAGGAATTAAAATCTAATTTGCTAGAAAATACCTGTATCTTTTAGGCAGGAAAAACAAATGCAAGCATTTCCTAGCAAATTATGCTGGACTTGTTCAATTTTTACAGCCCTTTTGAAAGCATGATGACAAGGTCAATAGTCCTGTATGCATTTTCAAATTATTTGCAAGCTGCTGAATGCTGGGCCTTCTAGATTTTTATTTTTTTTTTAAATCTGCTTATTTTTATTTATGCTTTCAAAGTCCATTCGACGGTTAGATGTCATTGCAGTGAGCTTCTGGGCATTCTGCCAAGGCTTCAGTATTGTCGGGATGCTGGATAAAGTACAAAGAAAAATGCTTGTTCGTGTTTCCTTGTGAGATTTTACAAGTAGCATATAGCCTCAGAAGTAAGACCACCCTTATTAAAGTAAGAGCAGAGCTAGATGCAAACAGGACTGACTCCCGCTTTCTCTATCGGTACAGCTAGTTAGAATGCAGAGTTCATTTTGACATGCAAGAACTGCAAATGCACACGAATTAGTGAGAAAGTTTCTGAGACAGAAACGTAGGCTTTTGGCAGCCAAAGGTGTCTGTGTTTAAGATTGTAAAATTGTGTAACAGCATAACTGTTAAGATAAGTGAAGATAAGCCTTTTCTGAAGTATTAAAACTGAACAAAACTGGTTTGAAATTTTAGAAGCTCGCCATTATCATTGCTTCTTTTACGGCTGATCCTGACGTGTTTGTCAGAGCATTGTTCCTATGCACTACATTGTATGGCTTCCACAAACGTTCTCATCCTTTGTAAAAAAAAAAAAAAAATCACTTAGTGTATTTTTAAAGTTGTTTTTATGTTTCAACTTGACAATCATTTGATTCAAATGTACTAAGATGTAGGACCATATCAGGGAGGGGACTAAACATTGTTTTTTGCCATAGGATATACTACAGTCAAGCTGATTGTTCAATTCCCATGTTAATTTCTGTGTAAACATGATTTCCCTGTATCGAAAAAAACCCCAAAATATAGATACTCACTTGCAGATCTGACTTGAGGCAGAGCGAGTGCCACATGCCTCCTTGTACTTTTTTTTTGTGTGTGTGTTCTGCTTTGTACACTGCACTGCAAAGAACAAAACAATGTAGCTGCAGTATTTTTCCCCTGCATTTTAGAGAAGATGTTTGTAAATGAACCTGAATGGAGATTAGCTGCAGTATTTTTCCCCTGCATTTTAGAGATGTTTGTAAATGAACCTGAATGGAGATAGTTATGCTTTGATAAGAATTGAAAGGGTGTGTTCGTGCTTTGGAATACTCAGTAGGCAAGATTATTTTCTATTGTAAGTTACAGACTTTTTACATGAGAGTTTGAGAACAGCCATGCTGTGCCTGCTCAGAGAATAGATAGAATTTAAGCCTCTGACATAAAAACAAAAATGATTTTGTTTTTCCTGTAGGAAAATAAAATATAGAAGAAAGGAATGAATTTAAACTTGATTTTTTTTAATGTTCTCATGTACTTGCTTCTTTTTACTAATTTCTTCTCTCTTTTCTTCATCCAAGTTTGTGCTGAAGCTTTTAATCCTGATGAAGAGGAGGAAGATACAGAACAAAGGGTAAGAATGAGTGAATTGCATCACGCACGGTTCTCTCTATGGTTTGACAGGCAGATGTCTGTACATCACCTCTTCCTTACCCCTTGTGCATTTCGTTCTGAGAGGCTGACATTGACAAAGTGACATTGCTGTGAAATTTAGGGCCACTTTGTCTCATGTATTTTTTAGGTGCTCTAGCTTTAATGTAATTTTACTTCAAAGGGCTGGAGAGCTGTGCTTAAGTCTACCATCTTTAAAATTTGGGATATATTTCTTTGTTAATTATCTTAGAGGCTTGTTGAGGCAATTCCAATAACATCGATGCTGTTGTGAAGAATTAGTTAAGCTTTATCACAGCTGTTTCTTCCTGGGTGCTTAAAATTCCTCACATGCTTTTTGCTGCCTTTGTTGTCAAAGCAGTTCTGCCTGGATAGGAGAAATACTTTGTTGAAATATTTGAGACTGAGGCCACCTGTTGTTCTATTGTTTTTGAAAGCTAGGAATTTCTAGGAATTGCAAGTCCAGATACTGTAATTGTATTTCTTTAGAGATGCTTTTATGTGAGCAAATCCCATAGCCTGGCTGGTGAGGGTCAGTGGTTTTCTCTCTGGACTTCTGGAGTTCCATTTCCAGATGCCATATCACGGATGCTTACAGTTCTGCAATGAAAACCTAAGTCTAATTTAATTTATTTTAAAAAAGAAGATAATTCATAAATAAAGTGCTATAAAAAGAAAAGACTATGAGTGCGTCTGATCATCCAAATGTTTGTAAACCTTGCACACATATTCCATCAAAAATATTAATTTTCCTGACTGCTGATTTAATACTCAGTTTTCTTTTAAAACAAAGATCTGAAATCTGTTCAACTTTGGATAATGCATTTTTAGAAATACCTACTAATGTAACTATTTTTTGGAATCCTTGTTATTCCAGAAATATAGTTAATATAGTGAATGTGAGATAATTTATATTTCTTTATCTGTTTTCATAATTATCCCCCAACAAGCACGTATCTATGACACAGTGAGTGTTGTTTCCTTTAACCGATGAAATGTTTCTAATTGGAAAGAAGTAACAGAAAAATAAATCTCTCAAACAGCAAAGCTTTTATTTAAGTAATTTTGTTGGGGGCGGGGAAGCTTCTTAGATAACTTCTTGTCCTGGTTTTGGCTGGGATGGAGTTAATTTTCTTCCTAGTAGCTGGTATAATACTGTGCTTTGGATTTAGGATGAGACGAATGTTGATAACACACGGATGTTTTAGTTGTTGCTGAGCAGTGCTTACACTAACTCGGGGACTTCCCAGCTTCTCATACTGCCCTGCCAGCGAGGAGGCTGGGGGTGCACAAGACGCTGGGAGGGGACACAGCCAGGACAGCTGACCCCAGCTGACCAAAGGGGTGTCCCACACCATATGGCATCATGCTGAGCATGCTGAATGATATAACTGGGGAGGGCTGGCTGGGAAGGGTGGTGGCTGCTTGGGCCATCAGTCTGTGGATGGTGAGCAATTGCTCTGTACATCACTTGTTGGATATATTCTTTTATCATTGTTATTTTTCCTTCCTTTCCTGTCCTATTAAATTCTCTTTATCATAACCCATGAGTTTTACCTCCCCCCCCAATTTTCTCCCCCATCACGCTGGGGTGGGGAGGAGTGAGTAAGTAACTGTGCAGTGTTAGTTGCCGTCTGGGCTTAAACCATGACACTTCTGTTATTAGATGGACTGAGATGTGTATATATCATAAATCTTACAAACTACCTGTATGCCACCAGTAAGTATACTGGGACTAATATAGCCAGAGATTAGAAGGAAAACTGTTGACTTTTTCCTCCGTTCCAAATGCTCAAGCCTTGACTGTATCTATGGCTGGGTTAGAAGGGAAGGGAAAGGAAAAGGCATCCTCTTCTTGTCTTTCTTGACTGTTATTTTGCATGTGTTAATTGTCAACATAATATATTTCTTACGTATCTTTCTGTCTTATATTGTATTTTTATATATAAATACTGTTTATGCAAACAACAAAAAAGAACTGTATACTTTGACACTCTTTAGTTGTGTTCTCCTTTTTCACTGAAGTGAAGGTTCAGTCTGTAATTGTATTTCTCTGTTTTTGTGACAGTTTTGTTTTACTTTGTTTTAAAGGTAGTTCATCCAAAAACTGATGAACAGCGATGCAGACTTCAGGAAGCGTGTAAAGATATCCTGCTCTTCAAAAACCTAGATCAGGTAATATCATTTTAAGGAAATCTTAACTGGTTGTAGGTACAGGTCATAGCTTGATCTAACAATCCAGACACTTGTTTGCATTGTGATAGTTCATGAATTATTAATTATATGCAGGCTGGGCTGGGACATGTGTTTGGAGATCAACCATCAGTGAGCAATATAAACAAACATGTCAAATTGTCAGTTACTGTGATTGTCAGATCTGTCTCCCTGCAAATTCATTTTTTCTTTGGTTAGGGAAAAGTGGTGGTGGTGTGGGTTTTTTGTTGTGTGTGGGGTTTTTTGTTGTTTTGTTTTTAATTCTTTTGCTCATCTTTCAATATTCGCTGTTGGCTACCATTGCACCTGATTTCCTTTTCCCTAGGAAACAGTTCATAATTTTATGGGCAATTTAAAAAGGAAATTACTTATGCAATTGTGATACTGAACATTATCCACATTTGCGTGATTTCATATTGCTGCACCTTTTTCTTAAATGCCAGTGTGTTAGTAAATTTTCTGTGAAGTAATGTTTTTAGGTTGTTCCTATTCTTACTCAACTTATTTTTATTGCTGAAGTTGGTTATTAATTACTCACTGCCTCAGCATTGAGTTTTAATGATGAGTGTGTCCATTGCTCACACTTGGTAATCTTAATTGGTATGATTTTTTTTAAATGAGGATCATAGGATTGTTCAGGAACAGACCTTTGGAGATCCTGTAATCCAGCCTCTGGGAGGCCATAGAATAAATGCATCTCATCTCTGGTCTGATGTTTCCATGAAAACACAACTGATAGCTCTACTACAGGTTGGGAAAGAATTAAAGTTGTAACACCAGAGATGGTCCCTGCAGCTTCCTGGTTTGGATCACTGAACTTTGCATGAGATATGAAAGGATGAATGTGATAGCTTATTGTTTCAGAAATGCTGCTCAGCTTTCCTTGAAAACCAGGAAGTTTTCCCAGTTCTTGGTGGCTGTACCAACCCCAAGAGTCACTGAACTGCATTCTCAAAATAACTGTTGAAAGGTTTAGATTGTAACAGGCTTCAGGAATTGACGTTCTGTCAAAAAGCTTCCTTGAAAGCTGGCCTTTCCAAGACTGGCCTTTCACTGTTCTGGGATTCCTGTTGTCATTAAGCCTGCTTACTTAAGACATTTTAAAGGTTCCTTTTGCAAGTAACCTGATGATGTGCAGTAAAAAATGAGACTTATTTAAGAGCATTAAGCAGCTCAAGGAGTATGTACAAATTGTGATTGCCATTTGAATTGAGTAGGTCAATCTTTTAGCTTTCAGCAAAATCACTCAGAAGCCAAAATTAATAACCAGTTTATATTCAAAGATTACTTTGAAAAACAGATCTGAGTTGAGAAAGTAGGCTTGGAAAAATACTGCTTCCTGGGAGATGCTTCTCAGCAGCTGGGAAGTATTGGAAATGATCTTAACTGCAACCGTTAAAGACTCAAGCTTTAAGGTAGTGCATGACTGAAAAAGATGACTACAGTCCATACATTAATTATAGTATGGTAAAGGGCACTTAGCAGAGAGTGGAGAGCTTTCCTAGTAGTGGGTACAAAGGGATTATGGAACTTGAATCCTTTCACCTCTCCCCCCAATAATTTTTTTTTAACTCCCTCTGTATAATGACTGATCTGGAAGACTGGCTGTAGAATACCCACCAAAAGGCAGAACACATTTAATAATTGAGAGGAACACTTTCAAATTAAGGCTCAAAATATGGTCTTTTGCTTCTTAACTGCTGAAGAGTGTAATGTAAAACTATTAAATACAAGCAAACAAACCCAGCAACAACAAAACTGCATAAAATCCCTTTGGGAGTAAATATGATTGTGTCACCCAAATGTCCTGGGCAAATTCATCCCTTTTTCACTGGTTGTATTTAGGTGAACTGTGCTGAATTGAGGTCCAGTGACTAAACAACCTTTTAAAATGTCTTTACTTACATGAATGGTTGCTGTAATACTTGGTATCAGACACAAGGGAGTCAGTGTCCAGTGGGTCACTTCTAGCAAGCTTCATATTGAACTTTGGACTGAAATCAGTTCAGATTGTCAGAGTTTAACCTGACATTTTGAGCATCCCCAGTGATAAACCTGATTTATGTTTCAATATAAAGTGCTGGGGAAGTAGATAACTTCTCTCCTATTAAAAGCTCTGTGTGATGTATCATTCATAGGCTCCACAGTGTGTTATAAATGAGTTTGTAGAATCCTAGTTACAACTGAATTCTGTACTGAGAGCAATGACTGTCATCCTTACCAGCAAGCCCCCTGAGCATGCTCAGTACCCATATTTAAAACGAGGATTTTTTACAGTTCAGAAATATGACAAAGCTTGTCCTTTTATTGTCAGAAGAGCTCAGTGTTTTATTTACTTAAAATAATAAATCTTTGCCTGTTTAGCCTCCAAATAAAGCATTATTGAGTTACAGTATTTTTAAAAAGCTTTTTAACATCTGCATTGCTTGTTTTCTGATGATGGTTACTTAAATGCATGCTGTGAAATATGTGGTTGAAATAAATGGCTTTCATGCAATTTTGTTTCATTTAAATATCAGGGGAGTTTTTAAAGACAAGAAAATAGGCTTCTAGTGAAAGGATAGGCAATATTTTCAATATAGTGGTGCCTACAGATGCTGCAATGATTGTTCCCAACTTAAGGAGTGCAGTAAATATTTCAAGTGTATCTAGCAGCATAAAGACTAGTTTGCGTGTTCATGCAGTATGTTTTTAGAAACTCATCTGTGATCTGGTCATTGAAAATGCAGTGGAAGTCTATTATTAATGGACTTTGGAATAACAAAGGTGGTAAAGCAGCTCAGCGTTGAGGGAAGGTGTTTATATGGCATCATTTCTCTTGCCTTTCACAGCTTCCCTGGCTGTGAACTCTAACCCCAATGCTAACCGAAACAAAAAGAGTTTATAGTCATGGCTCACCAGAGAAACCTGTCTTGAGTCTGCTGTGCAGACCAGTGTTACCCCATTTTCTGTATGTGCTCCCCATCTGTACCTGTCTGATCTCATCTTGTGCTGGAACTGCAGGTTCTCTAAGACACTAGACTCTCAATCTCAAAGTCTGTTTGTGTACAGTCTTGCTCAGTACAGTCCTGATCATGTCTGGGGCTCTTAGATGACAGTACAAATAAGTTACTAATAAATCATGGTGCAGTTTCTAGACATACATACATATAATGAAATATATGCACTGTGACTTAAATCAATACATATCCATTGCAGTGAAGCTGTGTCAGATTATACCAGGTGAGAGCTTGCTGTACACACGCGCTTTGGCACTGAATGAGGTGCATAAGTTAAGCCATTTGGACATAAATTTGACATAATAGCTTTTCTGTAATGGAAGTATCTATGTTTGTCTGCATTATTGAACTTCCTTTAATAAGCTGGAAACAAGTGATGTACTTACTAGTGGAAATCAACATTTAGTATCACTATTACTTGTATTTGCATACAGTAAAAATAATGCAATGCATGTTGCACTATTTGCATACAGTAAAAATAATGCAATGCATGTTGCACTTCACTGTCCAGACCAAGTCAAATGAACTTGCCCTTGTCCAACAATAATGCTAAGGTGTATTTTCTGAGAGGTTTTTGTTTTGTTTTGTTTTTTCTTCTATCTCTCTGTCTCCTTTTTTTTTTTTTTTTTTTTTTTTAAATAAAATAGGAGCAGCTGTCTCAGGTCCTTGATGCCATGTTTGAGAGGAAGGTGAAACCTCAGGAACATGTGATTGACCAAGGTGATGATGGAGATAACTTCTATGTCATTGAGCGGTAAGTAGCTGTGTCTTTCAAATGTAGAGTATGTTTCTTTCCATTTTTTTTGGAAATGGCAGGGAATGCTTACTGCAGGACATCTTCTGAAGGAAATGTACTTTTTGCAGTTGTTGCTTCTTCCTTTGGTCTTTCCATTTTCCACTTTAGGCCCCCATTTACTTCTGGATCATTTGCCCAGGGGTAAAAAATTTGACAGAGGTGGGTTTTAACAAACCTGCTGGGTTTTAACACATTCTGTGTGACTGTGTACAAACTCAAATACCACTTTCTTTGAGGGAAGAGCCGCAGCATGAGCTTGCCTATTATTTGTTCAGTTTAGCTTTTCTGCCCAGCAGCATGTGCATAGCTCAAAACCAGCCGTATTACATGCTGTCTCTAGACCAGGATGTGTTGGTTTGTTTTTTGTTTTTTTTCTGAAGATACAAGTGCAAATTCAGAGGACTTTGGCTCTTTCAGGGCATTAGTAGGCATATCTCGTTACTCTAAGATAAGTCATTAATGCCTAAATATCCCTGAGGATTATTTTTTTCCTGTCTGAATGAAACTTTGAGTTGCAGATGTAACTCTTTAGCTTCTTGTCTAGAAAAATAGGCTTTCTGGCCCAGGCCTTTTTTTTCTGGTGGAAGTAGTACTTCCTCACCACATTACTGTTGTCTAAATGTCTTTTACTATGCACAGAGGGACAGCAGGCAGGTTAGATACAACCTGAGGATTCAGCAGCTATTTAGAGCTTACTGTATGGGAAAGAGAGCTAGGATGAATATGTTGCATGGCTAAACATTAGTATGCTCATCACTGCTGAGGAGGCACCTGATGAGTCTCTGCTGATTGAGCAGTCATCAGTCAGGAGGGGCTGCGCTGGCCTCTGCCTCTTGGAACAGGCTGATCCACAATCTTGCTGAGTTGCTCTTTTCTGCTTTTTTTTCCTTGGGGTTTTATATTTTTTCATGTCAGTATTTTTCTTTCGAGTCCTTGAGCTCCTAACGATTACCATCTCAGTAATTACACTTCGGTCTGTGTTTTTATTCTTCTTATCTTGCAGGGCTTTAGCTCACGGACTGTCTCACAGCTCAGCAACAGTTTTCTCAATAAAGCTGAGCCAAGGTCACCCAGTGGTGCCTCACCAATTTAGTCCTTGGGCCTCAGACAGCTGAGTGCTTGACTGAAGGTTACGTGGCTATACTTATTTGGAAATAAATGGCACTAGTAGGTGACTTTCAGGCTGAGAGATGGGAAGAAGTTGTTGCATTGCACTTAATGTGCTCACAGATGGCTATTCTAGATCAAAAAGACCTCGGAAGATTGTTGCCTCTGGTGCCTCTCAGAGAATCATTAAATAGGACATAAGAAGTAGTGAAGCCTTCCATCAGCGCCAATCCTTATTTAGTGTACTGTTAGCATGCTGTTGGTTTCTTTCTCTGTCTTCCAGGTGTGAGTAGGCAGTAGAGCATAAAAAATGTCTGGTAAGGGTGTTATGCAGTCTTCATGCACCTAGATGCTTCCTTTAGCTTTCTTGGTGACAGAAAAAGACTAAATTTTTTGAATCTTCTGACATGTCTGAATTTGGCCCATCCACTATTGATCCAGTAGCCAAGTGTTCTCTCTGGGTCTGAAAGGCTTTAATTCAATAGACCCTCAGGTCATTGTGCAAAGCTTCCTCAATTATGTATTTTAATTGGTTTTTTGATGCATGTAATGTCCACTTTGTGGAATCATCTACAAATGAAGCTGGAGTAAAGCTGTCCTTTGTACTTTTTTTTAAGTAGCAGTGTTCAGAGGTAACTGACAAACCCAGGGTTGTCCATCAGCAATCCTGAAAGACCCTCTGCTGTTAATGCTACGCAAGTCTCATCAATGAGTCTGTTCCCATACTTGTTTACCATGAGAAATTTCACCTGCTGCCATTTCTGTGGATTCTTTTTTTCATTCTTACATGCTCAGTGGTGTTCTGGGAGATAATAGCATTCCTTCTGACAAAGATCTAAGCTCCTGGGGAAAATGATACGTATGTTCAGCTGTTTAAAGCCAGGAAGGTGTTCCCTGCCTGCTTTTCTCCAGGGCATGATACATTTTTTAAAAGTCTCTTAGGCCAGTGACTAGACCCTGGATGATCTCTGGTGCCATAGCGAAGAATTAATCAAGCCTAGTCAAGCTATATTTTTAATTTATTTTTTTTTTAAAGCCCTAAGCATAAGACAGTCCTGAGGGTGTTACAGACTCTTGTTTGACTTTAAAGGGCTACCTTTCTCTGCACAGCCTGTTTCTGCATATGCCGTTGCTGTGGTGCAGTTTGATCCAGATTTGTGTTTTGAACTTTGACTCACTGGACTTGTACCTGCCTCTTCATCAGAACAGACTTTTGATTCTTAGTAAGTTCTGGGTTACTGTTCCCTTAACTTCATTATAATGCAGGAAGTGTGCCTCTCGGAGAACAGGGTGAGGAGGCCTTTCTGATTTAAACAGGTTACAGCTCCCTGTGAACAAAGTGCAAGGAGGCTTCTGGTACTTGAGTGTTTTCCTCTTGATCTGTTCAGAGATCCTGGCTAGATGTCAGCAGTTTTAGAGAGCTTTCCTGTTTCTAGGAGTAAGCTATAACAACAACAACAAAAGGAATTAAAAACCTTTTAGCTCGATCGCTTTAATTTAAAGCCAGTGTGACTAGAGTGGAACCCATAATGTTCTGCAAAACCACCACGTGCTGGAAGTTACTTCCCCATGCTTCCAAAGCTTGTGTATCCTACAGTGTCACCTCAGCACACAGAGCTTTGTAAGAGACAGATGGATTTTCTTCAAGATAGAACATGGGATGCTGTAACTGTATTCTTCAGCAGCCACACCTCCATGAAAATGGTGATAAAGTTAGTTGGTTCAACTGTCAGCATGCTTGGAGTTGCAGCATAGTATGAAGTTGAACTGAGTGATAAAAGTTTTGGTCTTAAGGGATCTATTAGACAAATACCACATGAGAAATGGTTGCCTCTGGAGATCTCTGTGCTACAGGATAAAGATGTGGCACGTGTAACATTCCTGAACTATCTTTAAATCCTCCAGCTTGAAAATCAGTATGTGCTGCTCTTAAGACTGGTCAGTTAGCACTGCAAAACTCACTCAGTGTCTTAGATATGTAAAGAAAGGCTCTTTCTATCATCTTTGTGCTTCTGTGGCATCCCTGTTGTCCATCCAAGAGCTGGATAGTCTGAATCTAGCACAGGCGTATGCAGATGCACAACAAGTACAATTGCATCTTGGGGTTATGATACAGATGTACCTTTAAGCTGGAGTTGAGGCAGAACCATAGAAGCAGGTGAGCAGTTGGACTGAGTTTATCCCAAAGGTACTGCAGCAATGCTGTGTCTGAAAAAACAGGTAACGGAGGCTATAGATGGATCCAGGTCACTCTAAAGAGGCCTCACTGGGTAACACTCACGGTGGAAAAGACAAATACTGTTAAAGGTGATGAAACTACCTATCACTTCAGACAGAAGAGTGAAAATAGCAATGTCAAAATACTGTGCAGAGGAAACCAAGTAGATCCTGCCCAGATCTATCAGGAGTGAAGTACTTTATTAAGAGAGAATTATTATGAAAATAGTGTAGAAAGAAGCAGCTTAGTATCAGACAATTGGAAAGCTCAATAAAACATGTTCCATTTCAGCCAGCAATGAAAGGACTGTTTATATGAGATCAAAAAGCTGTTTTTTTAGGATCTATACTGGAATGTTGTCTAATAAAAAGCATCTATTCCATTGTTTTACAGAGGCCTGTATGATATTGTTGTAGCAAAAGACAACCAGTCACGCTGTGTGGGCCGCTACGATAATCAGGGCAGTTTTGGGGAACTGGCGTTGATGTACAACACTCCTCGAGCTGCCACCATTGTTGCCACAACAGAAGGAGCCCTTTGGGGACTGGTAAGGGAAGGAAGTTGCTCTCATCTGCATAATATTTTAAACACTAACTGACTGTGTCCACTGCTTCTCTTGGTAGGACTTCTTGTGCTAATAGAGATTTTATCATGATCTGTTATCTATGTCACCTGCTGGCATAAGAGATCCATTGTGCAAATCTTTTGGCCACCTTTCTAGAACAACTTGTCTGTAAAAACTGTACCACTAGTTTTATCTGTCCCTTTATTATTTTGCATTTGCTGTAATTGTGGCTTTTGTTAGGATTTTGTTTTCATCCTGCAGAGGACAGTGGAGATGTTAATGCATGTATTTCATGGGAGGGGGAAACAGTATTTAAATTCTTTATTTCCAACTCACTTTCCTACCATTTTGTCTGCTTTAAGGGGAATAGGAAGGTGTTAAATATCTTCTTGAGGATGTCAGTAATTTGAAGACCTAGGAAAACTGCCCAAAGCTTTGTTTTCCTTCAAATTAAACTGTCATGATGTTTCTGATCCCTTTGTGTTACCCTGGAAGAGATTCTCAGGTCAGCATGACCTATGAGATACCAAACTAAATGATGGTGTTGCTTTGTCTCTAGCCCAGCAGTATTGAATGGGAAGCTGTAGACATTAGTTTCCTTTTTTAGTTCTTTTCTCTGTACGCTTTGGAGAGGGTTATTTTCACAGTGCTCTCTTACTCATCTGTGCAGGCTCACATAATAAGCAGATTGTGTGATCAACGAAGCCTTTGAAGCCAGAAGTGTCGTATGCTTTCTGTGTGTGCTGGGCTCCTCGGCGACTGTCGCTGGGGGTTGACCATGTGTTGTGACCTTGATTATAGGACTGATAAGCTGCTACACACAGTGTGCTTATGCCATCTCAGTGCTTGCTGAGAGGTCTGACTTCCCTTTTCTTTGTGAGTGGAAAGAAAAGATTTTGATAAGTCAACCAGGGAGTAATGTCAGAATCTAATTTCTTGAACGAGGCAGAACAAAGCTGCTACGTACAAACTGAACTCATTCATGAAAGGAAGAAAATGAGAAGATGATTCTTTGTTCCAGTTTACCTTTGAAAAGAACTGCACAAATTGCATTAATTTTGAATTTCTTTAAAAAAATAAAAATACAACAGTTCTTTATGCTTTATCATCTCTTGTTCTCTTTTGAATAACGGTAATACCATTCTTCCCTTCATCTCTCACCTCCTTCAGTTTTTATATTCCACTAGCGTCCTCGGTGTCAGCCATTGCTTCAAGTTGACAAGCATTTGCAGTCTACATCCCTTAAAAGTCTTCTTTTACTTGAAAATTCCTCTTCACCTCAAAATATCTCTGCTAAGGTATCAGTTGGTGTTTTCAGAAAATGAGATCCAGAGGAATGGCTCTCACTCAGGACTTGGGATGTAAACTTAAAAGATTTTTGGTTTTTTTTTGATGTGTGCTATTTTGCTAACGGAATTTCTGCTCCTTTCTTCTGACTTCTTAGTTTTGATTTTTACACTTGTGGCCTCATGTTATATAAGGTAAACCCTGCAACTCTCACGCTGTTCATAATTTAGTGCTGATCCTACCAGGGACCATGGGCGTTATTGTAATGCAAACACTAACAAAAGTACTTGGTGGGCGAGTGCCCTTCCGCTGAGCCTGGACGTGCTGTTTAGTTTCAGCTCTCTCGTGGCCTTTGTCATCGGTGTTTGCCAGGAGTTGAGCCCTGCCTTTTCTGTGTGGAAATCAAAAGCATTTCGTTAAGATCTCTGACTATAATAACCTCTCAAAGATGTCTGCCCTGGCAGGTAGGGAGGCAGGAGCTGTGGTTCCCCGGGCAAGTTTGCCTTCACTCGGGCACGTAGTGCCGCCTGGTGGCCACAGAGCCCACATCACTAGTGCTGGCTGTGAAAGAGATCAGAGCAGGAGGGGTGGCAGGGGAATGGGTGGGAATCTTGCCCAGTATTTGGGCTTCAAAAACACACTAAACAATTTTTCCATCAGGAAGGGGCTTATGGTACATGAGAACAGCTGGCAGGTAGGAAGTAGTTGTTGCAAAAAGCTGCCTCTTGGATCCTAGAAGGTGGAGGAGTGAATGTCCTGTTGCTGTTTGGTACTCTGTTCCTTATCTATCTGAGACCAGTATAAATCTCCAACTTACTTTTGGAATCTATGACTCAAGTAGAGAAGAATCCAATTCAGACTTAATCCTGCAGTTGCCTTAATAAATAAATGTTGGAAATTCCAGTTTCCAATGGCTTCAGCAAGAAGACCATAACTTCTTTGTTGTATGTGGAAGCATGAAAGGTATATTAACAAAGAGCCAAACAAACCCCAAAAACTCAACCCTGAAAAACAGTACGAGATAGACTAAAAATGGGATTCTTAAATGCTTATCTGAGAAGGACTGAGTCTTACAGCTCCCTGTTTTTCAGTTTGGTATTGCAAGAAGTACTCTGAGAAGAGCTGTTATGATCACCATTGTGATGGATAAGGTATCATTTTAACAGCTGGCTTCTCAAACTCAGTATTTGTTGCAAATACTAGTTCATGTTTATCAGTTCTTCAAACAGGAAGCATTTTAGTCAAGAGGAATAATGTGTTTTTCTGTGCTCTTTCTTGCAGGATCGAGTGACATTCAGAAGAATTATATTGAAAAACAATGCAAAGAAGAGGAAGACATATGAATTATTTATTGAGTCTGTGCCACTTCTTAAATCCTTGGAGGTAAAGCTTCTCAGAGCCATCTGCATCAAATGCTTGCATTAGCATTAGCTCCACAGTCAGCGTTTCTGCTGTATCAGAAAGATGTGTCATTTTTGCTTAGAACAAATTTTAAGAGCTGCTTTGGTATCACATTTACTCTACAACTTAACTTGCATTGTTGAAGTTGTACACTGTTGGGTAGGTTTTTTTCATATCCTTTGTTCACAGTAAGCAATTTGCTGATCTTGTTCTGTGTAAAGATTTTTTTGAAAAATCACTGAACACTTATAAATATGTCAGAGAACAGGTATTAAAGTGGAAACTCAGGGCTTCCCTTTGAGAATGTGATATTAAGATATATAATGATACAGTCACTGAGATATTTGGCCTTTTCAGGCATGAATTATTTTAAATTTGAGACAGAGATGTTAACCAATATTCAGGAAGTAAACTAAGAATAGGCTAAAGGGAAGCTCTGCTACCTGGGAACACAATGGCCAGGCAGATGTCACGTTGATGTGTGTGGTGCGTGACTTTAGGAACAATTGTCACTTCCAAGCTGTTGATTCAGCCTGTATCTTCAGAGGACTTTTGGAGCCTTACCACACTGCTTTGAAATTAGTATGTAATTTCAAATGTAAGTATATAATTTACCTTTTCTTTGTTTTCTCATCATAAGAATATTTTTCAGCATTAATCTTTAGCATTTGAGAAGAGCTTTTAATCCCTTTGAGAGAAGATTACTAAATTGCAAAGTATAATTAGATGTGGATAGCAACCTCTAATACATACTATTTTGGATGTATGTTGGTTGCTGTGGAAGGGGTAAATTGCACAACACCTTCTCCCTCAGTGCCTGGCTTAAACTAGTTCCATCAGTGTGACTTTTCTTGAGCACAAAAATGACTCATAAATATTTAAAGATATAGAAAAATAACTTGTTAGCACTGAATGGCTTTTTGCATGACACACTGCAGTTGAATCATGCATGGATCAGAATTAAGTTTCCCAAACATGGGCTAGATTGAGATGCATTTGTGGAATGAATGGATTACAACTGAATCACCTGTTGAGATATTAATTTTAACTGTGGGATTTCTTCCTTTCTTAATGTTTTTTACACTGCCCTGAAACAATGAAATTGTTTTGTGGTATTCTAGATGGGCAGTGGGAAACATGGGAGATAAATTTAACTGTTCTTTCTCCCTTCTTGTTTCTGGCAGCTCAGGCATGTTTCATTGCATGTCAGATTAGCACCTCTTGCACTTGCTGCTGGGCATTTTGTTGCAGTGCCCTCTTACAATTTAGAGCAGCTACCCTTTTCATATCCCCTTCCTCTCTCCACTCTAGGAAAAAGTTCTGAGACACAAAAAAAACCCCTCAAGTATATGGCGATTAAAATATTTTTTAAATGTGTTCCTGGTGTTTCTCATTGAAGTTTGTTCTTAGGATGTTTATGACATTTCTCTGAGTGTTTTCTTCAAATTTCAGCTGAATCTTAGAGGAAATGATTTTTTTTTCTTTGCTCTAAGCCAACCAATAAATCAGTTATTTGTTAACTTTGGGGTTAAGAAAAGCACATGGATGAGACACTAGACAATTTTCTTTTCCTATTGATTATGGTAGTCTTTAAAGCTGTTGTGCAGTACGACAAGGTAATTGTAGGGGCTGTATTTTTCAGTACCTCTTCATTTCAGGGCTACAAACTTTACCAGAGGTGTACTATGAGAGATTATTATGTTTAATTTTTCTCTTTGTTCCAGGCATCAGAGAGAATGAAGATAGTTGATGTTATAGGGGAGAAAGTGTATCAAGATGGGGAGCGTATCATTTCTCAGGTATTTGAAATCTAAATTTCTCTTTGCCATTCTCCTTTCTCTGCTTATTTTTTCCTGTTTGGAATTGATTTATGGAATTGTATTACTGGCACCAACTTGTCATCACTTATTCTTTTAATACTTTCTATTTATTTAAGCACTTACTGAATGTTTGGGGAATGGCCAGTATGTCTTTTACTACCAATTTATTCTATTACTTTAGCTTCTGGGTTTTTCTTCCCTCATTGGTTTGTTTTTCATAAATGGTCTTTTGCAAGGTTTCAAGAGGAGTATGCCTTAAGAAAATGAAATTAAATGTCTGTTTATGTAATTTTCCACGAGAGCCCCCAGCTAGACTTTTCATAGGAATCTATGACCAGATTAAACAGAGTCACAAGCATGTAGTAAAGATGTCTCTAACTCCTAGGTCTGACTAAACAACAAAAGCAAACAATTCAGATAGGTATGATATAGATGAAAATAAATGAAGTCATTGGGAATATTTTACTAGTTGGACCCAACTCAGTTAACTATTCTAAGAAACTATCAGTATTAATTAAAACCACTGTTTTTCCTGATGCTCTTAAAAATAATATTTCAGTGGTGGAGTAGTCCAGCTTCAATCGCCAGCCTTTGATTGCTGGTGTGTGCTTTGTCTGCTGTAATTGATCAAAGCCAAAGTGGTGAAACATGAAGCTGGACATACTCAGGCTAAAGCTGTGGAATTTTTTTGGCTGTGACACAAATAACTTTTTGGAACACTATTCCTGATGAAACACTGGAATTTTGCATGCAGTTTAGCTTGAGGTTGCTTTGTTTGTTGCAAAAGTGCTTGTGGTGCTTGAACTAGTTGAAGTTAATGCAAGAAGGTCCTTGACTGACTTGAAATTGCAGGCTTTTGATCACAACTGTTGTCTTGTTTCAGAAACAAAATATGACTCCTTGATAATATCTTGAATAATTAATCTTAATTACCTGGAATATCACATAACTCAATGCAGGAAACCTTAGTTTGCTGATACCCAAATACTGCCAAATTACTTCTCTCCAAAAATACCCTCAATTTTGTAAGTTGAAAATCTTGTTGCTTAAGACCCTGAGAATACTGAAGTCTCAGCAAAATCAAAGCTTATAAATCAGTCTCAAAACTGGGAACCCACGCAATCAGTGATCCAATTATACAGTTGGTTTTAATCTTTTGTAAGAACTGAATTAAGGACAAGGATGTAATTACCCTTAAAAAAGAGGATTAATACTCTGGATAGGTCTGGGTGATGCTAATACACTGCTAAAGATAGTGAAATTTTATGCTTGGAAAAGATGTGAGAGCTCTTACATTACAGCAGTTGTACCAGTACCATGAACCCCTCTTCTCTCATGGATAATTTTACATTTTAATTATTTTTTGGAAATTTGACCCTTCAGTTAAGGGCAGTATGCTTCAAAGCACCTGAAAATTGTTAGTGCCTGCAGGTGTTATGAGGATGTCTGCCACTCAGTTTGTTTTAAATATTTTTTTAAATAAGTAATCTTTCAGTACTTACTCTTTCAGAAGTGTGTTGAGTGTCTTATGTTGTGGTAGATGGCAACAGTGAATGAAAAGCTTTGTGCTGGATGTTTCACTACTACACCCAAGAAGCTTAACTAAGGGCCTAATTTCTTCTCTAACTCCGTGTGTTCTTCTTTACAGGGCGATAAAGCAGATTGTTTTTACATTGTAGAATCTGGGGAAGTAAAAATCTTGATTAAAAGCAAGGTGAGTTCAAATTGGGTAATTTGGCTTTAGGTCAATCCCTGATTTGATTGATTAATATAAGTGGTGTGAAGAAGCCTACTCTGAGTAATTTTAAGATATTTTATTATATTTATCATTGTCACTCATGATTGTAAATCCCCATACCTGTTCTGAAGCAGACAGAAGTCACTTTAGTAAATTTGGAAAGTCTTTTGCTTGTATCTGCTCTTTTGCAAACTGACTTTGTATTCTCTCCCTGGTCTTAAGGGTGGAGGTTAGACTTTTCTTCTAGGATTATGGAAAACTACAATTTACAAAACCTGGGGTCTGTGATCTCTAGTGACATACCAGACACTGGCATTTGAACATGTCTCTGTGCAGTCTGAAGCAGCCTTAGGGAACAACATGTTGTGCATGATAAAACCTGTGTTAGGCTAATGTAATAGCAGTTCCCAGAGCTGGAACAGTAAATATCTGCCCATTTCAAAGCTTGTGGGCTGGCATACACTTTTATTACCAAAGTTCTAATTGAGGATGCTGTTGAGGTGTTCTACCAGTACAGAGCATGACTTGGGACTTGCTAGTTTGAAAGCCCTAAACCAACACGCTGTTGCACATCTATAAGATATCTGGGATTAGCTGCAGCCTTGTACAAAGACAGAACTGTGTGCAAATGATTGAAATGTCCTGTTTGACAGACTATGACGAGTAAAGAAGCTAACCAAGAAGTAGAGATTGCCCGGTGTCACAGAGGGCAGTACTTTGGAGAGCTTGCACTTGTTACCAACAAACCCAGAGCAGCCTCTGCCTACGCTGTTGGAGAGGTCAAATGCTTAGGTAAGCAGAAGTTTGGTGTTTCTAGATACCCTTTTCTGGTCTTTGTTTTGTGGACCATTCCTGAGTGAGCAGACACAAGACGCTAGGAGCATGGGCTGGAGCAGATCTCCACGCTGAAGTTTGAGAAGCATCGCTGCTTCATACCATCAGATTCTGGTTTTTTCTGCTTGTGTGGCCTGTAGTCTTTGAAGGGGTGAGTAGCATCAGCTTCTTGTCTGCAGCTTGTTTGTCACACACAGCTCTCAGGTGATCTTTTAATGGCAGCATGGTGTGTATTTCACTTCTGTATTTATCCTTGAGGTCAGGTATGTATTTCATTAATCTTGTTTCTCCAAATAACAGTACAGAGGGGAATCAGAAATACAATTTCTGTTTCTGTGGCTTCTGTTGAAGCCTCAAACCCAAATAGGCTGAACTAGAGGTTTGTGTTCCGAGTCCAAAAAATAGGTTGGCATGTAGTGTCCTTTTTGACAAACAGTCTTGTTTTCACTTCTGTTCCTTTGCAGTGATGGATGTGCAAGCATTTGAGAGGTTGCTTGGACCCTGCATGGACATTATGAAGAGGAATATAACACGTTATGAGGAGCAGCTGGTGGCAATGTTTGGCTCCAGCATGGACCTGTTGGATCCAGGGAATTAGGCACAGGTACCTCAATGCCGCCTTAGTTCAAGACACAGAAAAGCCTCCTATCAGCAACACAACTCACAAGGAAAACGGACACTATGGAACAGTACTGCTGCTGTCTTCTTGGGCATTTTAGAAACAATAAACGAGTCTCAGCAAGATGGATTGCTCACTCCCTGCCTCTACTTTGCTGCTGATACTTCATTATTAGACCTAGATTAAAGATGATTCTAACCCTATGTTCAGTTACTTGGTTCAGAATGGCATCTGTCCAACAGTTCAAGTGCCTGATAAGAAACCCAAAGTGTGCAAGATAGAGAAGCCTCCTTTCTTCTGGTGTTGCTGTCAGGATAAATTTTCAGATCAGATTCTGTAGTGGGAGGTTGCCCGTTCTGCAGAGGCAGCCTGTGGAACACAGGCTTATTTGCTTTTAATTGTAGTGTCTGGGTTTGAAGTTAAAATATCAATGGAGCCAATTAATAAGGTGGCACTGAAGTTTTCTTCTGACTGCTGAAAGTGGCAGATACTATAGCTCTTTAAACCAAGTAAACTGAGCTGGGGACATGGGAGAGGCTGCTTAGCAAAAAAAAAAAAAAAAAATGCAGAAAATGAAGCATTACTATGTTTTAAGTGTTTTCTGAGCAGCAAAGAAAAATGTTTTAGTCTATGCTGCCCAAAAAAGTGCAGTGGTTCAAATCAAATGGCCTGGAAGTGTCATAATTGTAATCTCCCCAAATTTGCTCCTTGTTCCTGACACTGAGTACATTTTATTGTGGTGAGATCACAATATATGACCTTCTCTTGCTTACAGAGATCCTTTATACTGCTAGATTTCCCAGGGCGCTGTTGTTGACTGGGTCAGTTTTAAAGCTTTTTAAGGAGGTGAATGTTTTGTAATTTAAATGAAGACTACTTCTGTACTTCTTTACAGGAGCTCCCCCCAGTCCTAACATTTCACAGTATTCTAACTTCATTAGAGACTTGGATGCTTCCAAATACCATATTGATTTGCTAAACTTTTCAAAAGTTGGCAGCATTTGACTTTGGAAAGCAAATGTCTTTGCTAACTACACAGTTGGTGTGTTTGAGGAGTCTTTTTGGTTTAGGTGATAACTAAGCTAACGATGTTTATCTAAAATACCTGTTAAATTTGCAGCATTTATTAGGTAGATTCTGTTTCTATAGCTTTAATGACCTTAATTGGCATACTGCTGAGATTTTATCAGAGTATTATCTAAATAAGAATCAGACCATAAGAAAGATGTTTTTATGGTGTACAAACAGAATATTTATATTAAGACATTGAATTTGTAGGTAATAAATCTAGTGACCCTTTGAATTTGCATTCTTCTGCAGCTCGTGCACAACTTACTGGTGTTTTATGGGGTTATAAAATTTTAATTGTGGATGCTAGTGTAACAGAACCTGTTCTTTTTATTCATGGCCATGTCAGCAAGAATAGCAGGATGGTAATGTTGAATTCCTGCTTCTAGTTATGACAGTGGACATTTCTCTGAGGCACGAGATGCTTAGCTGCAACTCTTGAGTTAATTTCTGGATATTTTTTTTCCCTAAATGGATGAGCTCCTCCCAGTTCCTGCAATATAAATAAGGTGGAAACTTGATAAGTTAGACTGTTGTCCAGTTACTGTAATTGGAGTAATATTTTTATATAATGCAAATGATTTGTAATGGACACCACTGAATTTGGTGTTTCCATATTATTAAAGTCCTGGTTGTGCTGTCTAGTGGCTGTTCTAACTGCATGTATTTTAGAACAGTGAATTTCCCTTGCTTTACTGGGCTGGTTTTTTTTGTTGTAAATTACAGCCAAAGAAGCAGCTGGTATTTCACTCATGCTTCCAAGGTTTAACACCAAAGACAAATTAATTCTTTTGATTACAGAATTAAAAAAAAAACAAACAACAAAACAACACAACCAACCAACCAAAAACAAACCAACAAACAAAAAACAAGAAAAAATGAAAAAAAAAATAATCCAACAAACCAACCAAACCACTTATCAGGTCCTTGCATTGATAACAGATAAAACTTGTAAGATACTTTGGGCTCCAAAGCAAGAGTCTTTTTGAAGCCAGCTCATGACCATCCTGTGAACCAGACATAAACTGGTCTCTAGAACCGAGTCTGTGCAGCCTAAACTGTCATGTGAGCTAAAGAGAAACTTACTGTGAATAATCATCAGCTGGCCTTTGCTGCTCCCAGGCAGAATATCCTCTCCTTTATCCAGAGGAGCCTGGCAGGTTGGGCTGCCTTATAGATGGATTTTGGTGCTTACAGCCTTTGGTTCTCTGCAGGACAGGATTGTATACCTCAGCATATGAAAACACTGGCAATTGTTCTGAAGCTTAACCAAAAATCCAGGCAAGGCTGATTTAGATTCTTAAGGTAATTCTGCCTGGAAGGGAGGATTTGATGGCTTCTAGAAGTCAAAGGAAAGCATGAGAACATAAAGTCAAAAGATTGGGATCCCATGCAAGCAAGTTTTGAAGGTTGTTTTTTTTTTCTCTAGACTCCTTGAAGCAAAGGCATACTGGGCAATGCCCTCCTGCATCCAGGGTCTGTGTGACATCACTCTGGTGTAAAGAGGCAACCTGACCTTGAGCTGAAACAGGATGAGCCTGTAAGAAGGCTTGTCCATTTAAAAGCTATAATTTGCAGTGTGCCTGATTAGTTTGGTCTGGTTTAACCAACCTGTTCTGTACAGTTTTGGAGCATGAAGATAGTGAGAGAAGCTTGTAGTAAGATAGTCACCATTGCCAGGTGTATGGTTAGAGCACCAGCAATGAGCAGTCGGAAAGTATGAGAGTGGTGATATCAAGACCAGGGAGTGAAGTGAGGTGCCTGTTTGTAGAGATCTGTGTCTCCCACATCACTCTCTTTCAGCTCATTCCTTTTCATCGTGACTCTTCATCTTAATTGTTGTGGAGAATGAGCCGAGAATTTTGTTACTGCTCAGTCTTCAGTAAATCTGCTGTGGAGTCTCTGAAATTGGCAGTAGAGCGAGATCTAGTTTTTAATAAAAGAACTCAGCAGCAAAGTGGGCAAAGAGGATAGTGTCTGTGAGACTTAGAGGAAAAAAAGTCTCTTGTTTGTGATTCCTTGCTTGTGATTGTTGTGAAGTCAGTGAGAGGAGCTTTCAGTGGTCAAATATCCTGGCATATGGTATTTCTGTTTAATGTCACAGCACAGGTTTCACAATGTAAAAGAACAAAAAAGGGCAAAAGTACTTTCTTTTTAGAAACAAAAGTGCAAAACTTAAAACTTTAAAAACAAAGTGCAATTTTGCACAGAGGGCAAAAACGAAACCCCTTTGAATGTCACTTCTTTCTTTTCTGATGGCTGAAAGCGGACTCTTGTTCTTGACATGTGTTTGTAAACTAGTCTTGACAAAATACAAACTCTTTGGTTTTTTCACTCCAGATAATTTTTGTTGTTACGGTTATTGCTGATTATTTTCACTTTTTTCAAACCATATCTTTTATTTCAAGAGGCCTTCCCTGCGGATTTCCTCCTGACGGTCTGCAGCTATTTCAAGATGCAAGAGAAAGTCACTAACCTCATGAGAGAGCCCTCAACTCTGCTTAGCTGGCTGGAGCTAATAATGCGCTACTAATTTTCCTCTGCTCTGTGGGGCAGGAGGGGGATTAAATTCTGCATAAAGTTGCTACCTCAAGGCTCCAAGTGCTTTTAAAGGTCTTTCACGTGGGAGAATTTCATAAGACAGTTCTTAAAATTGGTCTGTTCTTTTGAGTGATTTTTTTTTTTAATTGATTCATTGAGGGACCCTTATTTTAATTCATTTTACATTTAGTACTTGATTCTCAAAGGATGAACAGCTGCAAAGTTTGGTTCTTGCACTATAGTGTTGAACATGAAAGAAAAATACTTGCCATATAAACATACGGTTTTAACAAGTTAAACCACTCTGGGGTTCAGCTTCACTTTTGGTTAATAAAAAACTGACCTGTTGTGTCCAGCCTTCCTCTACCATCCTGTGTGTGCTCTTTATTGACTCACTGCAGCTGGCACAGCCTCCCCCAGTGCTTGCAGCAGGAGTCGACTTCACAGCAGCTAACTGGATTTACTGGGTGTGTCTGAGTTACTGTTGCTTGTGTTAACAGAGCCTTACGGAGAACAGCACTCGCCCTGTTGCAATAACCAAAAGAGATTTATACATTACCTGACCACCAAGTTTTGCTGTTTGGTGATAAAATTTTACTAATATATTGAAAATAATACCAGTTTCTGTAGATATTATTGCGCCCAATAAAACTGGCTGCTCTGGTACGTCTGCCGAATTATCGTAGAACTGATTTATTGTTTGAGCACTGTGCTAACTGGTTCTCAGCTCCTAGGAGAAACACAATATTCCTGGCCTACACTCGCTCACAGATACTGATTTTTATGTGACAAGCTGCCTTTTTTTAACCTAACTAACACTTTGAAAAGAAAATTACTTTAGTACATGTGAAATTATCTGTTCAAATACTCAATATTTGCTTTTGCTGAAGTTTTGTTTCTTAATACTTAGGATTTTATGCACAGTTTTTAAATTAGTCTTGGAGAGTAGTTCAAAGGGATTGTGGTGCTCATCATGAAAATGCCTCTGCAGGAATACAGTACTTCAGCGTTGGGTGCTTTAACTCAAGGAAGAAGTTAACACCTGAAAGGGCCAGAGGGCAGCAGCATGATAAACAAATATCTAGAAAATGTTACATTTTACAGAAGGGTAAGGAAGAACT